CGTCTTAATATTGATTTATTGATTATTTACTTTTCTATTTTATACCCTGTGTGAAGAACTGGTATTCAGCTAGTAGATAAATAAAAATTCAATAGAATAATAATAAATAAAAATTCAATAGAGTCAATTGAATAAGCTGCAAATAAAATTATTACATTAATATCTATAAGAAAATTGAATTGTGGTAAGTCGTAAGTTTGCATAAGATTGTACATGTCAGTTGAAGAAATATATATATCCCTAAAAAGTGCCTTGAAAGCGAGGACTGTTAGTCTAGCATGACAAAGTAATTTCTTTTAATAAAAATACGGTTTTTCTTTTACTTACAGCAGCGTACACCTTTAGCAATGTATCAATTAGTAAAATTTCTACTAATATTTAGACAGAAACTGCAGAATAGTTTATGATAACAGCACTTTGACAAAGAAATGTTTTATTTATTTACAAGTTCTGGTTTTACTTCCTAGTTTTTTAAATTTTTTTACTTCACTAAGTGATTATTTCTTCTTTTTTCAGTACATCCTTAATAAAAAAGCGCCATATTAAAAAAATTTCAAAAATTCCATTTTTTTTTACTTTTGAATCTTTTATATTTTTGTATTCTATGTTTGATTACTATATATGTAATACATGAAACACTGAAAATTTATTCAGGGATTATACAAAATTATAAATCGTACAAAATGATATTAATTAATAACCAGGTAAACCATCCCCGTTGTTTTAACGGTGGACAAAGAAAAGGTCCAGTAAAATTCGAGTGAAATTATAGATATACTTTTTAAAAACATTACTACGTAAGGATTCATTTAAACACAACACACACTATTAAACAATGATTAAGACAATTAACTCCCCACTACGCTTTTTCTTGAAGCAGAAGAATAACACTAAAAAAAAATATATATATATTTTTTAAATTTATACAAGTCGATGATCTTAGCTAATTTGGGAAAGGGAATTTTAAATCTGAAATTAGTTATGTTTGTAAAGCTATAGATTTTTTTTTCTCTCAAAAATGTATTTGAATTTTTTGTTGGTAAGTACAAGTTTATGAAGAATGAATAGAAGTTTGAAGCTTAGCTTTGTAGACATGCAAAATGTGCAGTGAAGGATTAAATAATTCAAAAATTGTTCTTAATTTTTATAAAACACTCACTTATAGTACTGTGATGTACAAACAATACTTTAAATTTTGCTTATTAAAAGATCTAACCCATGACAAATAGTTGATTGATACAGTATTTATAACCATATTGTATATTATATAATTGAAAAAATTAAAACTATACAAAAATTAAAGTATATAAAGTATTAAAAGTATAGAAAGTATCATGTATCACATTTTCTTTTAATGTATCACATATGTCCTCTTTTTCAAAAGTCTCAAATGTAAAATAGGCGCAATTTATTTCTTTAGATACTTGATGTAAGCATGAAGTTTCTTAAATCTAATATGTATAGTGTCTTAACAATATACTTTTATTTTGAAAAGAAATTTATAAATATATAACCTATGTGATGTAATCCTATGTGACAAAACAATCATGAATGCGATCAGGTTCTTGGGACATTTTTTTAATATTTTAAATTACAGTTGAACTTTTAAAAAAATGTAAGAAAAAGTTATAAAACGTTTAGCAAAACAAAAATTTACTATGAATTTGAATTGATCTGGATTTCTAAGATGAAAGATACAACATTAAAAAAAACATTAGAGCAAATATCTTTAACATTGGTTACAATAAAGATTGTCATGCTTAAATATACATATATAAAACTCTAAATTGCAAAAAAAAAGGAAAAAAGAGTGGAAAATGAAAATATAAGAACATTAAAGCAGTTTTCAGTTTAGCGTTTTTCTCATCTTGTTCCGGTTTAACATATATGGTTTAAAAATCGAAATTGTTGTGTTTAAAGAAGAAAATAAAATTATTCAATTGATTGACGGAACTAGTATTCATATTTTGAAGAAATGATAAATTATAATATTGGTGGTCAGAATAATTTTTAAGCATTATTTATTTAATATATTTACCTTTTATTATGTATGAGAAAAGAACAAAACATAAGATATTTCGGTTTATTTGGATCATTTGGTCCATTTTTAAAACCATAAAAACTTTACATAAATTTACACAAAGAAATATAAAAGTAAACACATAGAACTCTCATTTACTACGTCGTTCAACAGTATTTATAGCTTCAGTATTAAATTTTTAAAAATTAATACTTTTAATTAAGAGACATATTTGTGAAAAATAGTAAATTTTGAAAATGTTAATCACCACAAAGTAATACATTTAAAAATCCTATATTATTTTGATAGTAACAAAATAAATAAAACTTCATAAAAAAAACTACTCTTAACACTCTCATACCATAAATTAAATTTAACAAATTATTCACTTCTTAAAAATATTTTTTATTACAGTTTTTATTATTCAGCATAATAAAATTGTAGGGATTTTATTTATCAAACTTTTGCAGTTAAAATATTCCTTTGTTCTTTTAATTAATTAAAATATAAGTTAGTGTTAATTTTTTTGTATTGGGATATAAATTATCAATATTTATATAAATTTGCCTATTAAATTACTTAATTTTTTTTTTATAAAATTAAACGTGACATTCAATTTAGGAATGAAAACAAAGTTATACAAAAATCATAAAATAAGTTTTGATTTATAATTTTAAAAGTAACATTAACTTCATAAATAAAGTAAGATCGAACTCAGTGCGTTAAAAATAGATTCATGCGCAAACAATAAACGGTAAAATCCTGAACTAATGTACAATATAAATAAATTTTATAAATAAACTATAAAATATGAAACAATTCTAACATTACATAGACATGCAAATATAAATGTATTAAGTAATTTAATACAAACATTTGCTTACCTCCCAAGAAATGGATTTATTTAATGAGTTCTCGATGGTACAATTTATTTAGAAAATGATAAAATGTAATATAAATAAATAAACATTGTTTCGAGTTAATTGTCTAACTGACGAAAGAAACAACAGCTAATAATTTAAGTTAAAAAAATTAATTAAACAAAATAAAAGTAAACAGAATATTTATATTTTTCAAAATTTTGAACTGGAAATAGCTAATTTAAATTATGGTGGAATAAAACTGAGTGAGCTTTGTAAGAGAAGATATAGAATGATTATATGTCAGAGAAAGTCTCTTAACAAAATCACCAGGAAAAAAAATGAAAATATCAACAAGAGTCTCTCCCCACTTAAATCCCTAAAAGCTTAATACATCTGTTTTCCTAGAAATTCTAGATAAATGCCTGTTTAGGACAATTTATGAATAGATAGCCAAGAGATGTTTCTGTGAATAACACACATTTTAAAACATGGCCATAAATAAGGTAAAGACAGTTTCAAAATGCAAAAGACATTTTCCCATAGTGTAAACTAAAGCGGCTATTTTTGAGGTATCAAATTACTCTTCGTTGGTGGCTAACTCCATGAAGAAAAAGAATGGGTACAAAGAGCGTTTTATTTGCTTATTGAAGGAAAGGGTAGCAATGATAATTCTTGTAGATTCTCTGAACACTTGTTTCATTTTTTTATGTAGTGCAATTTTTGTGTACTTTATCTTGAATAAATTTTCTTTTAATAATAGAATATAATAAGTTGCACTATATGTAAAAAAAAGGGAGAAAAAAAGAGAGTGGAACACATAGAAACAAAATAGAAATATTTGCTCAAATTAATGGATCCTGGATTCCTAATTATTGGTGGGGTCCGGACCCCCCTGGTTACGATACCAGTGATTACAATTGCCAAGGCGCTAAGTGGATTTCTAGCTTGCGATTTTTCATTATGCTGGGGGTGGATACAAGATGCATACGTTTTAAATTTTCTCCTTATGTGATATTTTTTTTATAAATTATTTCGTTTATTTATTTTCTTGCAGGCTGCTGCCGAAAGTTTGCTAAGAATCAGCAATGTTTTGCAGCAGATCACGATACGGGCGAATATTTCGTCGACTTCATTATAAATTTTTTTTAATTGTCTTTCTCTCAGAAAATTATTTAATCTTAAATAACTTTCCTTGATAAATGTTTTTTTTCTACTAAAATATATTTCGTCAGAAGCGCCGCATGTAGGAAAAAAACAACTTTTTTTCGATAGTGCCGTGGCGCTTTCGCCGAAAAATACGGTATGTCATTCCAGTTAAGTGGAAAATTATGAAAATTTATAAAATTATGAAAAATTCTTTTTTACTCTTAGATCCATTTGCTCGAATACAATTACTTGACTGCCAGAATGTAGAATTATACAAAAATAAACAACTATTCTACCGCTTGAAACCAGGAGATACTTTTAATGATAAATTCAAAAAATAAAAAAATTAACAGATATATGTTACCTTCAGTAATTTTTCAAAATCCGAAAAAAAAAATAAAAAAAACCATACACTACCAAATAAAGCAGTGCCGGAAAATGGTACTGCTTGCCTCTTGTTACTGTCTTCCTCACAATTATCAAAATTTCACAAACTTCAACCATCACCTCCAAGTGTGACATTTATGGTTGACCCATAACCAAAATTATCTAATTTTTTTTTAAACCTTTTTTGCACATGTGATATTTAGCTAAAGTTAGATTTTTCTCATTCTTTGTTTTTTTTCCCAACTCCCAATGGGAATCAGAAGTGGTTGTATGAAAAAAATAAAATAAAGAGTTGAGTGAAATTTTTGAAAATAAATCTAATTTTGATACTAAATGTCTAGAGAGAACAGATTTCAATTCAAGGTTATCAGAAAAAAAGCAGCATTACCTAAAAATCAGAAAAATAATTTTAAATTATTATCTAGAAAATCAATTTAATTTCATTCACTCGTGTAAAAACAAGTTACCAGTTTTTTCTCATTACAAATCAAATATTTTCTTGATCTAGAGAAGATAAAACATAAAATTCATAAAATGATTTAGAAGTAGGAAAAAAAAACAATTTTAAAATATATATTTCTTACCATATCAAGATCTTTCGACAGTCCTGTTGAAATTTTATAGCTACTTCCAAGTGATAAGGGTGGGTCACGTTGTATTGTTCCACTACTGATATGCCAATAGTATGGTCCACTATCATCTGTATAGATTATTAAAAAAAAACATTCATTTAAAGAAATATAACACACTGTTTTAAAATTATAGATCAAAGAAATTATTTAAAAAAAAACATGGTTTTTATTATGATAACCTAATTTTATTTTAATCTTTATTTTTTTTATCATAGTTACAATATTACATGGCAAAAATAGTAACCGCTGAACTGCTTTATGGATAAAAACACACACACATATATCTATATATTCAATAATATTTTGTAGTGTTCCTATTCAGGAAATTACTTTTAATACTGAATTTAGCATAACATATTATTCAGTGCCAAAATGATACCAACATCATAATAATTTGCAACATTATGTATCTAAAATGATGCCATCTAGTATTTAAATTTTTTTAATAAATATTTCCCTATGATGGACAACATGTATTCAAGGAATATTAGTAGCACGATAGGGTAGAGATAACTCATCCTCTACACAAGGTTTCTCTGCATCATTGTAGCATTCCAGTCCATAATGTTTTGTCATAACATTTCTACAAGATGGAGCCAGCAACTAGATTTTTAGACCCTTACAATATAATTTTGTTATTATTATCATGCTTGTAAACAAAACAAAGTCTTTACAGTAAGCAAGCTTTAAGGAATTCGGGTTTTGTTTCAATTTTAGCACATCAGGAGAGCTTTTAGGGCTAAGGATTTATAGAACATGAAAGTGTTAAACTATAAAAAAGTGCTTGCTACGATGAAAGTGCTAAACTATATGGAAAATATAAGTTATATAATAAATTAAATAAAGACAAATAAACTAGACAAGAAATACATTTTTAATTTACAAATTTCTCCCAATACTTGATCCAGGAGTTCCCTTGTTTTCTGGATTGGGTTCAAAATTACAAGGTTACAGTGTTGATATTAATCGTAAAGCCGAAAAATTGGGTCAGCTGTTCAGCAACAATTATAAATAAATAAAAAAATATTTATGTCTTGGCATGCACTTTCTTAAATTAATTTAAAATTATGAGGATTAGCAACCTTTAGTCCTCTTAAATCAAGAAAACCAGCTTATTAGATAAAAATTTGTCTCTTAGATCAAACGCTATTTAGGTAATTATATCAAAGAGCTGAGAATAGCCAAAAACAAAACAATTGTACTTCTCTTACAATTTTGTGTAATAATGATTTATGGTTAAGGATTTGGTTAATTGTATTAGCTCATTCAAAGTTTTTAATATGTATTTAGCAATTTCCATTTAATTTTTGGGGAATAGAAATAGAACACTCAAATCAAGTAAAACAAATTGACAGTAAAAAAATTGACTGTTTTGACAAAAAGTAATCAATAATCAACAGAAATCCCTATCTTTTTTTTGATATATGAATTTAATTATAACAATTGTATAGAAATAATAATAATTGTGATGCTTATTGTTATTGCATTAACATTATTTTTTTTCTACATTCTGCTTCTGCGTATTTGAGAATATTTGTTCTTACACAAATAATAAACAAATTTTGTAATTATTTAACCATAAATACAAAATAAAAAATAATTTACCAAGAAAAAATGGAATAATCTGTAAAACAAAATTAATACTTTAAAAATAAGAGATGAAATTTTGGGGGATAATATGTTGATATTCTCAATTTCCAGACTGTGTGTTTGTTTTTCAGTGGCGCCATCTATGGCAAAGAATTCGACTTCTGCCATACCATACGTCGTACCCAGGGCCGGATTAACCTATAGGCACACTAGGCACGTGCCTAGGGCCTACGAAAAACTTGGGAGAAAAAAATTTGTTGACAAAAATAATTTAGCTTTAAAAACAACAAGTGTATTTTGCACAAAATTATGAAGATACAAATAAAAATATAATATTTTTCGGTAATAAATTATTTTGCAGAATCTTATGATCTAATATATTACTTTTTTGCGATTTTTGGATTCAACGAAATCTTGTATTATGCTGTCGAATTCCAAACTACGCAAAATGTCGTATTCAATAGACATAAGTGCGAGCGATGCCAAACGATCTTGATTCATTGTTGAACGCAAATAATTTTTTATCAATTTTAATCTGGAGAAAGATCTTTCTCCTTCTGCATTTGATCCAAGAATCGACAAATATATTCTTAATGCAATGTGAACGTTAGGAAAAGTATTCACAAGTTTATCTTTAACATAGTTATCGATCGAACTAATCATAATGGTATTATCGATATCAACTGCAATATCGGCAGTATGTCGGTATTGCAGATAAAGTTCGATAAACAAATTTGTAAATTAAAATCCATATTAATAAAAATGTAAAAAAAAATATGCAAGAAAATTTTAGCATATATTTTGAAAAGAGGAGAGGAGTGGGGGAAGGAGGGGAGGGCCCAAAAACGGCTATGCCTAGGGCCTACGAAAGGTATAATCCGGCTCGGTGCCTAGGGCCTACGAAAGGTATAATCCGGTTCTGGTTGCACCCATTTATAGGGCGGACCCATTCAATCAAAGATCGTAATTTTGACCTGAATCAGAGAACAATCGCTTTCCAATCCAGTACCCATTAATCTGTTACGGGAACATGGAGGACTTTTGCGACTCCACAGATTTAATGTGCATCAGTCACTTTACTACAGGGGGAGTCTTCGGTTGGCGGGGTTCGAACCTACAAACATGGCCCAGCGCCCTACCGACCAGGCTATCCCAGCCCTTACAGATTTCTAACATTTGCAACAAAAGGGAACAGTCGCACTATCTTAGAGGAAATGAAATTTTCTAAGTAGCCCTTGCTCATTTTCTCCATCATTTTAACACGTAGATATCCCAAACAGGGGTGATTGTGATCCCAAGTCAAAATTCCAGAAAATTTCTTGAGTTTAAAAAAAAAAAAAAAACACAGTTAAAATTGAAAAAAATTTAAACAAGGGTTTTTTCTTCCTTTTCCTCAATATTTTTTAGTTTACTTAAAATATATTTAAAATTTTACACATACCTATGATGACCTCGAGAAGTAATCAAAATTTGCAAATGTCTTTCTTTCTTGAATTTATGATTATAACAACTATTTACTGATAAAAAATGAATATTAATCATGAATATAAGCTTATAAAGTATCTCTCTCGCTCTCCCTTACAAACAAAGAAATAAACTGTGTTTTTAAGTTCCACCTTTGAAAATTTGATTTCCGGAAACTTTCGTGATCAATGATTTTCGGAAACATCTGGACCTTCGATCTCCGGAAACTTCCGGATCACTGTTAGCGAAAAATTCCGGAAATCTGGATCTTTTCCGGAGCACAATCAGCCCTGCCTAAATTTAGAAAAATGCTTCTAACAGTTTTAGAGAAGTGCTGATTTTGTGAGTTTTTTCTGAAGAAAAGGCGCTCTAATCATTGGTATGATTTGAACTGTTTATGGAGGAAAAAACCTAATATTTTATATATAAAGAACATTTATTTAAAAAAATTATAAGGCAACAAGTGTTTTACAAAAATTTTAACAAATGGTACAATTTAAAATTTGTAATATCAGAATGTAGTAGCTGGAAGAAATAATCGGAAATTTTTTTTCTGAATGTGTAGTATTTTTTTAGTACTTTTTTTTGCACATAGGAGATATTTAGAAGACAGTCATTTTTAAAAATAACATTTACAAAATTTAAAGAGAGAATGAAAATTTTTTCTCATACATTTTTTTCTCTCATCAACACATAACACATATACAGAAGAGTCTCGGTTGTTCGAGTTTCCCATAAATCCAAGCTGGTGAAAAAAATCAGTCTTGGCCCCAAATAATGATCAACGCACATACATGTAACAATTATTATAACTGGATTTTAATGTTGTTAATCAACTAATATGTCAATATGCACCCTCAAACAAGAAGAGACCCTTCTTCTATAAATAAGAATAAAAAAAAGAATCAAAAATATACAAAATAATAATAATTGCTCATTAATAAGTTCTCTAGTCTTTATTTGAAAACTTCATTGCACATGTTCTGTTCATCATTATGAGCAAAGAAGAAAAACATTTCTGGGTTCAAAATATTTTCAATTTTGAATCGGAAAATTCCTTGCATGTTTATAGCAGCCTTTGTATTGAAGTTTATTTATTTGTGATTATAAATATTAGCTTTCATGAGGGCGGTTGCATTATACTATGCTATAAAAGATGAGCGACTTTTGAATAAATCTTAATCTTTTAGAATAATTCTAAAAACTAAACAAATTTTTTTTTTAAAATGCTTAAAATTTTATTAAGGAAATAAAAAGAAACCTTAAATAAATCAGATGAATCCCAAAAACATTTTGTTTGGTACACTGCTCCTACAGGTGATGCAACACACATACGACTAAGGGGATGTAGAAGAATAAAGATTTTACTTGTAGGTTTAAATTTCCAAATAAATAGTAGAAAAACAGAAGACATGGGGTACACAGAGAGAGACACTATTCACAATGGCACAAGAACAGAAGACATGGGGTACACAGAGAGAGACACTATTCACAATGGCACAAGAACACAAAAAAAAATAAGTCTTTGCACAGCATAGCTCAACAATTATCATGACAAGTTCAGTAGTAATTTGCTGAAACTATAGCCACTAGAGGATAACTCATAGCAATATTTAGATTCACAGTTTTGAAAAGCAAAGTTCAACATGACTTCTGCACTCTCAGATATTACTGAAGCTCATGGCTTCACATGCAAACAGCACACCATAATGGCTGCCTGAAACAAGATTCATCTGCCAGTGAATGATCTGGTCACTACTGCCGGTCACTGCAGCCCATTAGCACGCCAGAATGGTGAAGAATGAAATCGAAGCAAATTACAAATGGGCACCTAGCCAAATTTATCCTGTGATGTAATTTAAATTACATTAATGTGAACAGCAGCACCTTTAATATTAATGATTGAAAATCACTAGGAAGGACAAGTATATGCTAATTACCTACTCACAAATTATATTACAGAAAAATATATAATCAGAAAATGAATCCAGTTTACAAAAACAGAAAGAGACAAAGAAGAAAATTAACAGTTAAAACATTAAATCAAAATGGAAAAGTGCCTAAAGCAGCTAAAACCAAATTTGCTTTACTCTAATTTAGATATTCAAACTAACAATTAAAGCAGGAAAAAGTAATAAAATAAAAGATGTGTTAGTAAGACAACGCTTCTCCAGGGGACACACTGCCTAGCAACACACTGGAGCCTTTCGGTTGTCAGTGGAAAAACCAAAACTGACAGTGCCCCGAGGTCCCATAATGGATAGACAAATAAGAGAAAATCATTACAAGAATTGAAAAGCACAGTAAAATAATGAACTAGCAAATATTACTTCAAAGTACACATAGTAAGACTTAAAAATGAAACACTTACTTATAAATAAACATAGTTCCAGTTAGATTAACCAAATCAAAATAAAATATAAATTGCAGAATCAGTAAGATAATATTACAAATAAATCAAGTGCTGACCCCTATTTGAAAATCTTGAACAACAAAACAAAAATATATTCAATGAGCAAAAAGTGCTGCCATCTGCTTTGAATAAAAAAGAAATCCTTAATTTCACGGCATAGGCCAATTTAAGCGGGCTTCAATATCGGCTTAACTATTTGAACGTTTTTAAAATATTTTGAATTAAAACATCATAATTATTGTAATTAAAAGAAAAGTTATTATTCTTTAAGGTAATTCTGAAAGTCCCAATAGCTGAAAGAAAATCTGTTTCATTATTACAAATAAATTTAAACCTAAGAATTTGACTAACAATAATATTCTTAAAAATCTTAAAGTAAAGGTTGGAATTAAAATGTGTTAAACTAATAACATTAAATTTAAAATCCCTTCTTTCATCATATAATCCAATGAAAATTTTATTGGTAAGAATTTTAATATCAAGATCTAAAAAATATGCACTATTATCTTCTGAATAAGTCTTAATTAAATTAAGTTCTTTAGGATGAATACAATTAATTCAATCAAAATTATAACAATAAAAAATAATTAAATCATCAATAAATTTAAACCCAATTAATAAATTATGTTGTAAAAATTTATGTTCACAATAATGTAAGAAAATATTAGCAAAAGCACTTGAATAACAGTTACCCATTGAAATACCTTTAATTTGTCTGTAAAAACAAATACCATTAAAAAGATAATTTTCGAAAACGTTAACATTACATAAATTTATCCAATCCTCTTTATTAAATAGGCCTATGCGGTTAAATTAAGGATTTCTTTTTTTTTCCAAAGCAGATAGCAGCACCTTTTAAATTTTTTTTACTCATTGAATATATTTTTGTTTCATTATTCAAGATTTTCAAATAGGGCACTTTATTTATTTATAATATTTTCTTACTGATTCGGCAATTTATATTTTATTTTGGTCAATCTAACTGAAACTATGTTTATTTATAAGTATCATTCTTAAGTCTTACTATGTGTACTTTTAAGTAGTGTTTGCTAGTTATTATTTTTTTGTGATTTTCAATTCTTGTAATGATTTTCTCTTATTTGTCTATCCATTATGGGGCCTCTGGGCACTGTCAGTTTTGGTTTTTCCACTGACAAGAGAAAGGCTCCAGTGTGTCCCCTGGGGAAGTTTTGTCTTAATAACACACATATCTTTTATTTTATTGTTTTTTATTACTTTTTCCTGTTTTTTATTTTTTTTCCGAATTTGTTTGAATATCTAAAAGAAAAATATATACTAATTCATAATACATGACATACATTGTGACCGTTTTCCACCCTGACAAATCATCATTCAATTGCTAAAAAAGGTATAATCAAGGATCTCTGAAGTAAGCGAAGCCCTAAAATTTGATGAGTAATGGTTGTCTATCACCACTTTTTAAATTCGCCAATCAACAGAATGATCCAAACCACAGAGTTATAAAAAAATACCTGTTTGCATGGTTATCACCCATTCCCGCTTATCATCTATGAGAGATATTCGATTTGGACTAATAGTTCTTTAAGTATGTCACTGATTGATGACACTTTTTAATTAAAGCAAAAGAATATTTTGATCTCCATTTTTTTTAGAGCCCTGTACGCAATTCTCAAACAATGATATGATAAAATATTGAATTCAAAATTTTTTTAATTAGTTGAAAATAGAAATTTGTAAAAATTTGATATATATAATTTAAGAATATGCATAATGAAATATCTGTTAATATAATGGATTAATAAATGTGAAACATAGAGAAACCTTCATGTTTTTCCCATCCAGTTGGAAGGCATTCATAATCTCCAGCATTTTCAAATGAACAATCATCAAAATTTATTGAATCGCACAACCTGCAAAAAAAAAAACCCCACAACACTTAAAAAGATATATTGAAATTTTGTAGTTACAAATTTAAATCAAAAATAACATTTGTATAAACATTATGATCATAGGAGTACTGTCACAAAATCATAAGAGAGTCTCAGTAAATGCAGATGGTAATGCATTATGACAGATGACTATGCATGATGCATTAAGACTATGACAGATAACCATTCCATCCAGGAACATTATATCCATGAACTTTTATTTGTTTAAATACCCTGTGCTAGGCTATAAAAATAGTGTATTTAAGTTCTATTGCAATATATTTGTCAATTTACACCTGCACATTGCTATTGCATTATTTTTAGATCTGAAAACGATCTTTAAAATAAGATCTAAAGATCTTTTTTTAATCTTTATTAGGGTAACTATACATTTTGAGGACCAGACATTTCCAGAAATTCTTTCCAGTACATATTTATTTTACATTCACATTTTAACAATAATTTTAAATAGTAATCAGTTTTAATATTTTTAATCTTAACCTAGAGAGGAGATGGTGAACATATGGCTCAGGTATTTTTGTGATATGAGAAGTACATATTAAATTTCCTTTATTTATCGATATTCACTGAAAATAATATTTCTTAAAAAAATCTCCAATACTTATAGTCTTCATCAGCGGATTAAAAAAAAAGTAAGATTTTGGGTGACATTGCGACATTTACATTTTGGGTGATATTGTGAAAGGAGCTTTTCGCAAGAACTCTAACATTCAGCGACAATGAAACTGCGATTGTGCCATGGGAGAGGAGTAGCATATCAAAAATACAGTAATCATGAACATCAATAATAACACACACAAGCTTGTACAAAACCGTACTAATATAAAGTTAATTGCATTAAACATGACTATAATTCACAGTATAGAATGTTTACAACATCATTAAAAAACTATCTTATGTAGTTTGAAAAGAAAAAAATTCTTGCTGTGTTCTGTTTTCTCCATGCATTTGCTTGCTTTCACATCTTTTAAATTAAGTTAATAGCATCCATTTCCTACGAAATCACGATCAAGGAATATCACTTTATCTACTATAAACTAAACTAATTCTCAAATGTGTTACTGAATGAATCAAAATAAATGTTCATTCAAAGAGAGTATTATTTTATATAAGATAATGTAAAATAATGAACTGGTAACATTAAGTATTTAGCATATTTGACACATAACATTCGAACTAAGAACATGCATTTGTTGTGTATGAAAATCTGGCTATTGGATCTAAATTTATTCAGCATGATTTATTTCCTTGATCAATGAGCTACTTTAATATTTTTTCATCCATCCTAGAATAAAATGATTTAAAAAATAGTTAAAAATACAGTAAAAAATTTAGATACACGAAGAATTTTAAAAGTAACAAGAAATACATTTTTCATATATTAAGTAAAAAAACATTAAAACGAAACCATTATTTGAAAGTTAAGGAAATAAAACTAGTGTCAAACATATGAATGTTAATTAATTAAAGTTTTAAGCACAATATAGAGAAAAACAAAAATGCGTGTGTTGTGAAGAGCAAGCACTCCTTCATCAGGAAGTTATTGGGGAAAAAATGCTAGCAAAGAAACATATTTTTCCAAAAGTGTGCAATTTCATTATTCTGTGTCTGGTATCTTAAGTTTTAATAAATATTCACATTAAAGCTAAAAATTTTAAAAATAATTTTTTTAAAAAGGGAAGATTTTGAAAAAAATTTTGAAACAGGATGCAAAAAGTTTTGATATTCAATGTAAAATTTTTTTTTTGTTGATATATAAAAAAATTGCACTAAACCCATACATTAACTGCCCATTTCATACTGTAGCTAGTCTACTTTCCCCTTAAAATTCATAAAATAAAATAAATATGATACAAAACTATAAACTCCACACATTTTTAATTTTCCTTACTTTTTAACCTTTAACACTTCCGATAAGCAAAATTTAAAAACAAGGTACTTAACGGTTGATTCAGACTGGAAAAAAAAGAGGAAAAGCTGGAGATATATTAAAAATAATTAGAGAATTCTTACTTATCAGACATTGAACGACATGATCGAGAAGATGGATCTGAATCAGAAGGAAAACTTGCTTCAAGTCTTAGATAATAATCTAAAAAGCTAGATCTTTTCACTGTGTCCTTATTTTCATTAGAATCAAATTCAGAATTTCCATTTCCAGAATATAGTAATTTTCTAAAATAAATAAATAAGCATTAGCATCGGTCGTACTTACATTACATGAACAGTGCCTAAAATAAAGCAAAAACTTTGGGTTATCCAAAGTTTTTGCTTTCTTGATTGAATGATTTTTTCTTTTTTTGATTTTGATTTAATGATTGAATTTTGAAATAATAGAACTTAATGATTCGAGAGCTTAGCCTTAATATGAAGAGAATTTTTTAAGTTACAAAATCAGACAAAAAAAACTTATTTTCCCTGAATAAGCATATCCTTAGAATTCATGACCCTCAAAATATGGGGATAGCAACAATCTTGAAAATATGGTACAAATAATTTAGTCAGGACAGTGGTAGAAAGTTTGGGTCCTAAAATGGTAAGTTAACTTCTTGGTTATTTTACTATATCACAGAATCATCTTAAATGAATTGAAAAAACCTTTGTATAACAATCTTATTCTTCCTTATGCTGTATGATTTCATTTCTCCTCCACTTCAGTTGAACATGAATTGGCAAGCAGACACAGAAGCTGATGTACTAAAAATATTTCAGGTTATACCATGCTCTGCCTTCTCCTCACACCAATTCAAAACAAACGGATTGAAGAACAGGTGCAGATACAATACTTGATCTTGAGTCATTATTCAGTTTCCTAGGTTGTTCAAAAGGGGAACAGCAGAAATGACAGATGATTTAAAAAAAAAATAAGAAAAAGTAGAAAATAGAAAATAACACGGAAAAAAAGGAGAGGTGCAAAAATAATACGAAATATAGGTGGTCTGCAGTCTCTGCTGATGATATTTCTCCAGGTGATAGCAAGGTCAAATCTTTCTCTCATTTGCTCATTTTGTCCAGTATTTAATAAAAAAATTTCCACCTCGTGTGGCCACTTATTAAGTTATGGTCACTAATTATAATTTTTGATTGCGGTTAACATATACTTATTTTAAAAATTAATGAACTATCGTTAAATTAATGTAGCACATTTCAGCAAACATTAAAAAATTAAGTAAAAATTTAATTATTTCAAAATTGTAAAATTCAAACAAATATTATGATTACATTAACTGTACCACCTACAGTGATTTTTCAAAGCACTTGAAATTTTATTGCCAAATATTATAATTTTTTTTATCAAGGCACTTTCTTTATTCAGAGACTATCACAAAAAAAGTTGTTCAGAAAAAAAAGTAATAAATGAAATAAAATTTCACAAAACAAAAAACTTTATGTAATTTTTAAAAAAATCATCATGTTTTTAATAGTACAAAAGCATTTAAATTAGATACTCAATAACAACTGTATCTCCAGAGCAATGCAAACTTAAATCAATGAGAAGAAACCAAAGGGTTAAATGAAGAGCATTTTAATATGATATTGGATGAATTTTTTTTGTTTTTTTTTTTTTTTTTTTTCAAGAAAACTCCNTTAATTTTTTTTTTTTTTGTTTCCAAAGATACGAGGGTTACTCTTCAATTTGAATTTTCTATATTTAATAAATGGATGTATTCAAAATTACATGACATTATTTGTTCTCATTTGCCACTAAAAACCACATTCCAGCAATTAAACAGATACCTACTTTTCTTTTTTTTTTTTGCTTCCTTGCTTAAAATACCAATTTCCAAAACTAAATGTAGACATGGGATTCAATTACCGATGGTTAGGGTTGCAAGTTTGTCGCGGGAAAAAAGACCCCAAATTTGTGGAAAAATCGCAAGAAATTTTGAAAATTACACAAATTCTTAACATAAAAAAATTTATTATATTGCAAAAGACAGAAATTGCGCAAATAATAAACAAAGGTTAAAAATACACAACAAAAGTATTTCTTTGAATTTCAAGCAATATTAATATTTTTATTTAAATGAACAGAATTTTGGTACAAAGTATTGTACATTGTCAGATTATTGTCATTTATCCTTCGTTTTTCATCACTTAATACATTTTTATACCTAGAAAACGATCTTTCTGCGTCAACGCTGTTTTTAGGCACCGAAAAACTTTTAATTGCCACTTTTGCTAATTTTGGAGCGTTTGGTCTTTGATTTCCAAAACTCGATCAGTTGTCATTCACCAACGCGCAATTCCTTGACCGTTGCTTTGTAAGAAGTAATTGCTGTGAAAACTCAAACATTCTACATTCAAACTACTAGTTACAAGTCCCTACTAACTACTAGTCTCCCCCCTTCATCTAAGAAACTGATCCATATTTAAGAAATCACAAGAAGCCGCCTAGGAAAAGTAAACTGGATATGTAGAAAGGCAGTAGAAATTTCATTGCTCAGTGCAATAGCATGTATAACAATTTTTCTGTCGAAGATTTGATTTAAAAATTTTTCCTTCTTTTGTGATTCAATTTCTTTTGTACTCTTACTGACTTCAGAAAGGTAATTACCCTCCCTAAGTGTAGAAAGACCACCTTAGTTGACAAGATTGTGATTATCTCTTATCTCTGAACTATTTTCATGTCATTTTGCTATTGATTCACTCCCCTAAATATCTAATCAATTTAAGGTTCAGGAAAATGAAAAATTCTGTTTAATAAAAATAATAAATAAAAAAAATCAAATTTTAAGCAATTTTCGCGCAAGTCAAGACATATTGAGAAATTCGCAGATTTTAGGAAAAAAGATTAAAATTTAGCGGAAATTCGCGCTGTGACAAACCTGCCGCTCAACTGATGGTGTTATTAAAGAGACTAAGATTGAAAGGGGAAAATGAAGAGGATGTTGAAACAAGTCATAAAAGATCATTGATTCAAATAAATGGACCACCAGCTAGATACAGAAATACAAAATTGTTTATAAAAAGCAGGTTTAATTGAAAAGTATGGACCCAATTATGCGATAAATTTTTCAAATTTTCACAGGAATAAGATCATTAAAAAGTTTATAACTTCCAAAGCAGTAAACAAAGTGAATACAAAAGCAAATTGTTTGCCATGCTTTAAATGATTAAAAAAATATTTTATATTACATAATATTCAACTTTTATACTGATTTTTTCACCTAATTTGCTTCTGTACCTCTAGTAATTACTAAAATAAAACATAAAACTTAACTGTTTTAAGCTAACATTTTAAATATGGTTAACTTGCATCACGAATTTAAACCTTTTATCAACTTTTAACTATTTTAATTGTTCTATCGTAATATAGGAAGTAGGTAACTTTTTATGTTAATGTTTACATTTCTGTCTGTATGTGGATGCATTTTTTTCTTTATTATTGATTTAAAAAAGATAAGTCATTTTACTTTTTTTCATTTAAAAAGATAACTTACAACGTGTAATTAAAAAAATACAGAATGCAGTTTCATTCCAAATAAGTAGGCCTTTTCTATAAACACAAATCCCTTATGTTATTATAAATTGGTCCAGCATATACATTTAACCGTTTGTGGTCATCTTAAGCTTATACATGGGTGTCATGTTGGTCAGAATTAATTTTCGTTGAATAAACAATAATGCCCGATATGCATTATGAGGAAAAATAAAATTTATTAATTCTTTTTTAAACTTTAGATATATGCAACAAAATAATAAGTCTTAATTTTATGTAAAATATATATCTTATAGTTGTCCATCGTGTGGTATCTTTCAAAGCAGTCTCCAATATAAACCCATGGCTTTCATGAACATGCGTCGCAAAAATATTTAGTTTGGCGTCTTCCACCTTCAATTTTTCTTTTTGAACGTACACAACAATCTTTACATCCTCACAGTGCCACAATATATGTAGTTTGCCATTAAGCTGTGGTTAACATCTTTGCTGTACTGTGGTTAAAAGCAGAAATGCAACTGTGGCTGAGAGTAGACATATGATCGAAGAAGGTTAATACTATGAAAAAGACCTTGCAGAAAGATATTGGTGCAAGTGAAATTTGTTGCAGAAAGCCAGAGCAAATTCTGCCACAATATTTTTAATACTAATATTTTTAATGCTTATTATATGTTAATAAACATCACATCATTATTATTAATTATCATTATAAATTAGTGAATATTATTAGTAAACATTCTTAGTTTTTGAATTAAAAAACAAAGAAAAAATTTAAAACTTAAAAAATAGATTTTATAAATTAAAAAACGAGAGAGAAAAAATAATGTAATTTATTTTTATTCATTCTCAAACATTTTATTTTTAAGATAATTTAAACTATATTTGGACACTTTAAAAAGGGTTTTTAAATAATAAGGATCACAGAAAAAATTTTTCCAGATTCTAATTTTATGTTTTGCAATGAGTTAAATAATAATAATACTAAAATTGCAAAAGTCAGAAGCAGGGTTTAAAAAAAAAAGTCTTTTTTTTCTAAAAAAAAAAAAAAAAATGGCCCAGCCTCCCAGGGTTTAAATCTAAAACACAGGTTTTATTTGGCCTTTGATGAAAAACCCAGGCTTTTTAGGTTTTTACAGAAATATCTTATATTTTGATTTCTGAATCCTTAATGAGATTGCGAAACCATTTGATTTTGAACATGAAAATTAAATATTTGGTAGCTATTGATAACGTCTGTTGTGATGTAACAAATTTTTGGAGGTTTTATATTGTTGAACCATAACATCTATATCTTGAAGAAAAGCTGATTGCTCCACAAAAACAATAGGTTTAAATACATAAATGATATATAGATATAAAAAAAGTAAAACTGTAAACAAAATATATTAAAACTCACGATGATTCAGAATTTTCACTTTCTAAATGAAGATCTACACCCATAGATGAGGGTTCCAAATTTGCATACTTGCGTCTGCTCCGTACACCTGTTTTGTGATTTATTCGTCCATTTAATTCTTCATAGAGATCATCTATCTCAACATTGCAGTTTTCATCTGAAGGAACACGTTGATAGTTAGGATTTGCATAGCTTAGGAAACCATTTCCTACAACAAAAAAACAATCAGATGACTTAAAAACAAAAAGATTTTTATTTAAAAAGATTTCAAAGGAAAATAAGAAAAATCTGATTAGATACTCATTTTTTTTTTCCTTAGTCAGATAATCTGTAAAAAAATTGCATTTAAGCATAGAAATGAGAAAATAACATTGGCTCTCTATTTAGGAAATTAATATTATTAATAAATATGCTGAAAATGCCCAAAATTTTGAATACCATATTCAATATCATTTGATGCCAAATTCAATACTGAATTTTGCTGAGAAAAAAATTTTTTGCTTTTAAAAATGCAGACATATAATATGTCAAAGATAAAAATTATATATTAAACATTTCAATATTATTTTGCTTGTATTATATCATTTTAACTCAATATTACTTTTAAATTAAAAATTACCAAATTCACAAGAACAAACTCAGCAGAGATTTAAAAAACAGAGTTTTACTCTCAATTTAAATCTTAAAAATTTTTTATAATTTTAATCAGGGTATGCAATAAGTACATCAATTACATTTAATGTTTACATTAGAGATGTGATTACTTATCTAACTAGTTTGTGTGGGTAATTTAATTACAAAAAAGGCCAACAATGTTCCATTTTGCTAAGGGTGTTTTCTGGTCTAGAGATCTGATTTAAGCCTCATTTTTTTAAAAAAAAAGAATTTTCCATGAAATGAAAGAATAAGTTATATAATAATTTCATTGTTTTATTTTGAGATCTTTCAGCTACATTTTTATTTTTTTTCCAGGCAGAAATAATTAGAAATTTGCATGAAAAATAAGGTGAAGATGGAAATCCATTAATGGACAAGTGTAGCTCCATCTCTATGCGCAGCAAAATCTTTCAACAAAAAATAAGCACCTTTTAAGTACTTTTTAAGCACCCCCGTGGCAGAAACACGGCGACATTGTCGCAGAAAGCGACTGAGTTCTTGCAGAAAAATTGTTTTTATTTGGGAAATAAAGATTTTTGGTTTGCCACAAACAAAAGTTCTCAAAATAAAGGTGAGAATTTTTTTCCCCTTTATTAAGCTATTTTTGGAAATTTGCCAACTTCGGCCTCTATCGCTGGTGCAGTAATTTGCTTTGTGTTTTTTTTTTAAGAGAACAGAGCATTTTATATTTTTTGCACTTATGTGGAAAATTTCATGCATAAAAAGATTCTTTTTTTAAAAAAATCATGTTTAGCGAAAAAGTTATTTGTTGCAATTGTGAAGCCAAAATAGTTAAAACAAATTTGAAAACTGATTTATCAAGGCGGCATTCCGAAAAAGAAATAAGATGGAAGTCGACAACATCTAAAAATGCCTATATGCTTTGAATTAAATCGTCGATAAAAAAAAAAATACAATCTAACGATAAATTAAATAAAGCCTGAAAGATATCTCACTATCTACGATTTTTTAGCATGTGAATGAAAACCAGATTGGTGAAAAATATTTACTGGTCACTTTCAAACAGGTTTCCATACGCATGCGAAAAAAATCGCATCCAATGAATATGGCTCTAATACCGATGTTTCAGTACTGATAAAGACTATTTCATCTCGAGATGTTGAATAGACTTGAGCATATTGAGTCGGAAACTGCTTCTGCATATTTAGTGTGGAATCAGTGCTATATATTTACACAATACAGTGCGAAAACACAAGCGCTGTGTATTTTTTTCGAACTTAATCTGATCACGAAAAAAGTTTTATTTACCTCCTTTTTTTTAAAAAAAAATCTTTCAATAAGTCAGTACAATATTAATCGAATCTAATTAATTAGATAAAATTAATTAGATGTAGAAAAAATTGAAACAAACATTGCTTTAATTTTTCTGCTTTTAGAATTCGGTTATAGTCAATACTATTTTATTATTTTGATTACTCAACTTCAATATTAATTTTTTCACCTGATTTGTTTCTGTACCTGATATAACTACTATAGTGAAACATTAAATCATACTGTTTTAAACTGATACTTCAAATTCAGTTATCTTGTTTTATAAATTTAATCTTTTTGTCCATTCTTAGCTATTTCTATAAGTTCTATCTTATTACAGGTTCTGGGTAATCTTTATTTATGCTCTAGTAAGCATTTTTGTCTGCAGATCTATACATTTATAACTTTTCGTTATTATCGAAGATTATGCAAATTTATACTTAAACAATTTAAACTTATTAAGAAATGTAAACTTATATTATGAAATTAAGAAAAAAAATACACAGTTTTATTCTATGCATGTAGACTTATTTTATAAACACGAATTTCATCTATTATTATAAATTCATTACACATACATTTATAACGATAAAAATATCTTGCAGAAAGATATTGGTTCTAATTAGGTTTGTCGCAGAAAGTCAGAAAAAATTCTGCCACAGGGTTAAGCACTTAAAAGATATTTTTAAGCACTATATACATTAACAAAATGCAAAATAACTTTACATCATCAAGATAAAATAACTAGTTTCTGATAAAGAACTCTCTTTCTTCATTATATCAGCCACCTTTAAAAGATAAGAGCGATTTTTCGTTTCGATTTCATAGGGAGGAAAAGGAAGGCGGAAATTGAGAATCTCTTGCAAAATGCGGCCAAGTTGCACATGATAGTGCAAGAATAATTCCCACTAAATCCAGCTCAGTATATGCACATATGGACTCACAAGTATTTCATCAAACATGTAAAATGATTGGCGCTTTCATACACATGTGCATTGTGTTTGAATGATTTGTGAAAATCTTGAATAGAAATGTGGAAACCGTGCGTTTGCATAACACATGACAAAAATTAACATGGTAAAGAAAAAAATTCTCATTTTCAAAAAGAGAAAATTAAGCACTTTTGAAAAACATCCAATAAAAAAGTACCTTTAAGGGCTTTTAAAAAACAAAAATAAGCACCTTTAAGCACCTTTTAAAAGCACTACGCATCCGGTATAATCTGAAATGGGGACCAAAAATTTATGATTATGCATGAGTGTATCCATGGTTAGAGTCAACAAAAACCTGAAAAATCTCACTTTTTCACTAAATGGTAACCATTTTAAAAAAAAGATTACAACTAAACAATCATAAAAAATCTTAATTTTAGAAAATGTTAGATTTTTGTTGGTTTCAGCCACAGCCATATCAATACTCAACATAAATTTCCAAGGCGACATTAAAATAGCTCAAAATTTTTATAATGCTTCTTTTTGGTTGCTTGGGATGTACCATCAATCAGCAACCTAAACTGTGCAATACACACTCCTTGAGATTTTAAGTGGTGCAACAATAAAATAATAAGATAAATGAAAACTATAAACTAGATACCTTTTATTTACAAAATAGTAACATGATATTTAAGAGACACAGGCATTAAAAACAAAATCTACTTTGAACGGTACAATTTTTATATATTATTAGTTGTTAGTGAAATTTACTTCTACATTTTATGCTTATGTAAACTTTAAAAATTAACATCTCAAAATAACTGTTGCCATATCATCCCCTTCCAGAAAAAAAAATTAACAATTAACATGTTTATATTCAGTAGAAAACAACACGTCTTCTAAATCTGGATTTTATTAGAACTACAGTATTAAGTGATAAATCAAATCTCTTTCCACTTAAGCATGTCTTTTGCTCTGGTCAAAAGAATTGTCAGTTTGAACTTCTTGAATCCTCTTTTAAGATAAAGCAGACTTGACTCTAACAATGCTGACGTTAACTTGTTTATCTTTCATGTTAATGTTGAATGTTTTGTTGTTGCATAGAACAACTTTGTGAGGATCCGTATATGGAGCTGTTAAGGAAGGTTGGGCACAGCAAAAAATATTTTCTCCGGAGTTTCGACCTTAGAACTTGAACAACAGGGCACCAGACAATATTTTTAAATACAATGCTGAAGCTTTTCAGAATCTACCATCACTAAATTTATAATAAATCTGTATTAACAATCAGGGTAGATGTAATCAAAATAGATACAAAAAATAAAGATAATGGGTATTTGCTAGAACGTTTTATGTAGAGTGACGTCACAGGCAATGATCGTCAGCGACCAGTTGTTTTTGGTAGGAGTGACATCATCACTTTTTAAAAATAACAAATTTCTTCAAATTGGATTTAATTAACATTTTCCAAGGTAGTCTTTCAAGCTTTCATTTTAAAAATTGTGCATTTTGTCTATTTTTGAGTGTTAAAAAAATAGCATTTTCTATGAACATAAATGTAGATTTTAAAACTATCGATTTAAAAGAATAAAAAGATATGGATTTTTGATCCACCATCTTTTTATTTTTATTAATAATGTTAGTAAGAACCTCAAGTTAGATCAGAAATCGTCGACTAATTATAGATATGAATTAGAAGTATAGCCTTACTTTTGAGGAATTCAGTCATTTTATGAAGAAAAAAAAATCTCACATAATAATTTTGCAGTTTTTATTATTATTTTCAGTTTTAATTTTATTATTATTTTCAGTTTTGTTTAACGAGATTCACCTGTGAATTTAGGAGCTTATGAGCTAATTTATTATTTTCAGTAAATTCAGTAACAAAGCTTTAGAATGGAGTTAAATAGTTTCACTATTGTCATTTTTTCCCCTTTCATATGATTTTAAAAATGATTAGTTTCAATAAACTGTATATACTTATAACAGTATCATATCTTAAAATTTTTAAATGTCAAATTTAGGCAATATCCCCAAAATTGCTATTGAACACAATGCTGAGTCATATATTCACTTTGTTTTCATTTTGAGATAATTGAAACCTTACTTTAAAATCATTTCATTAAGGAAATTTTGAACTAAATTATAATTAAATATTGGTATGAGAGAAGATTAACTAATAGATAGTTTTAAATTCTTTTTCATGCAACAGCAATATTAAAATTTTCTAAAATATTGACGTCAAACTATTATGAGTTGTTCAGTGCCAGTAAAATTTTCTGGAAACTGTTAAAACTTTAATGCAAAAATACACATTCCAAAAGAATGACCCATACACACATAAAATTAATTTCGACAACAAATATAAACAGTAATTTAAAAAAAAAAAAAACAATTAAGTAAAAATTCTTTCAGATAAACAGTAAATAACTTTACCTAGCTCAAATGAGGAACTCATTCTGAATAACTGGAAAAGCAATTCTGCAAGATCTGAAATAAAAAATTATAAAATATATATAGTATAGGATGAGTTTATAGTGTATAGTCATATACATCAAAGTTCAAAAGTGCATATAAAGTACCAGTTTACGAATTTTAATGGAAAAGGGGGTAAAGATATCGAAATCTAAGATGCATAAAAAAAAAGTAATTCAAAACTTCCAATGATTTGAAAAACCCCAATGGCAATAATAACATACATAACATCTATATTATCTGATGGATCACCAAGATTATCTGTTTATTTTAAGTTACATAATAACCCATAAGCAGAATATTTTCAAATGTTCTGCAAGCATTTCCCAACGAAAAAAGTCAACTTTACGTTAAAATACTATATTTTCATTTATTCAAATACAGGATCATACGCAGATACACTACATTATTTTTTAAATCAAGGCAAACATTCTGGACTTGTTACTTTTTCAAGCACTCTTGAAGTATAAAATTTTGTTAATTACGATGATGAGGATGAATTATTAGTAAAATGCCTATGATATAAAGTTCCGAACATTAAAATAAGGGCTGCCTTAAAAATCTTTCGAGGGGACAAGTGCCCAGATGGTGCACCATTTGCGAGCACAAACATTCACTGGTCTGTTTTTCCAACAACTTCTTCATCTCCATCGACAGAATCCGGTCTTTTAGAAGCAATTCTGTCAATCGTGGATTGCCACAGTTCACAAATTGCTTCAGAAATGGGAATGGAAAATATAAAAGTCATAAACTTTACGAAATCGGAAATCTCTGAATTTAATTCTTTTACGGCTTGCTTCAGAAGCTCTCTTGATAAAAATAGTGATAGATTTCTCCTGCTATATGCTAAAAACTGATACACCCATTTTATAAAAAAGTTATAGCCAAAAGTTAATTCATTAATTTCCTCCTCCGAATGGCAAAGATACGGAAGAGGGAGATTACTGGTAAATGTGCTGAAATTTCTATCACTTATTCAAGATACAAATTGTTCTGCAGGACTTCGTTTGTTCTGCGACGTACGTCAGTTTTAGACACTTTCTCCTTCTGGGCATAATAATACAGTTACGAAACTCAATATATTTAAATGATCAATAAAGTAAAAGTAATCTAACTTCAAATATTTGGCACTTTTCCATTTTGTTAGCTGAAGCAAATTCTGTATTTTATTTTCTTAATTTGTTAAATAAAAAACAATAGCTGTTTCACAAAAAATGAAGATAAAACTCAATTTACTTGTGCCTCATGACTTTACATTGGCCAATTTTTCGCCTATGTCAAGCTATTTATTGATTAGAATCCAAATTTCTAATAACTCTTTTAACATTAATAATAATCCCCTCAAAAAAGTATAAACACACTTTACCTAAGTGCATTATTTCAAAATTTGAAAGGAAATGTATAAGTCGCTTATTTGTTAATTTGTTTTCCTCACTGTTGACATGAATGGAGATATTTCAGTATCATGTTCTGATGTGCCAACTAAAATCGCCAAGGTGCCAAATAGATTCTAAAATTACAAAAAAAAGAAAAACATGTAGAAGTTTTTCTGGGGGTGGCTACAAGTTATACCCTTCCAGTTATTCCCTGTGATGCTTTTTTCTTTTTTTTAAGTTTCTCATGGGCCACTGAGCAGAAGTTGCAAAAACTTGGCGATAATTCTGCCACAGATCAGGATATGGAAATCTCCCTGCATGAATTTATATACATAAATTTTATACAAATTTATATACAAAATAATATGAAAAGCATTATAGAAAATTTCCAGACTATAACAAACAAAACAAAAAATATTCATATTTTTTATTTTTACAAATTCTCATTATACTGTTATTTTTAAAATATGTGCTTCATTTAGTAAATTGAAAAACTCTATTAGTATATATGTTCTTTTATTCCTCATTTCCGTTGTGCAGAATATCAAGTCTAATTAAAATATTACTGTTCTTAATTTAGGAATTAAATTTCTTTATAGTAAACACAGCACCCCTATAGACAAAATTTCAAAGAACATGCGTTCATAAAAACGACAGAAAAATGCTCGATTTTAAATTGCGATGAATTTCAAAGTATTAAAAACTATGGATTTTAACAAAATTTTCTGCACTAACAAATTTTCTGCAAATAACAAAATTTTTGACCATCTTCGTAGGTCAAAAATTTCTGATCACGTCAATTATCAATTAATGATACAAATAATTGAAAGCTATATACTAAAAAATATTTTCAAATTGTTCGTAATTAAAATAAATATAATATTTTAACTCTCGGTTTCAGTACATTAAATTTCATTGGAAATAATTTGCTGCAAACTCTCTGAAATTTTTGGTTCCAAAAGAAGTAACGCAGTAATGAAAATATTTTAGAAGTGCGAAGAAGTAAATATATCCTATCGTAAATTACAATGTTAATTTTATAAAGTTTAATTTATTAAGACAACTAATCCTTCCAACTTAAAAAACATTATAAATAAAAGGCACCTACCGTTTTAAAAACCCTAACAACCAAAACAAATAGACTAATAAGTGAGAGACTGTTGTCTCCATGTACACCGGCTGCGTAAAATGCGCATGCGCAAAAATATACCTAGCTTTATTTTCACCTTGGCCACCAAAATTAAAAGTATATTATTGTTTGCCAAGATTTTCACCATAGGAATTTTGAAAAGTGTAACTATGGTGCTCTGTACTCGGTGTGTTGTGAAGTGCTGTCAACTTATTCATAATGTCTAAAATACTTTTATGCAAATACTTTCATGGAACATACGTCTCCAGCCAAATCTGAAAATCAGTATCGTAAACCGTAGAACGGATCGAAGTTTACAATATTTGGCTCTTTATCCGTGTATACACCTGGCTGCAGCATCGAAATTTCGTCAATGGCGCATGCGCATCTTACGCAGCCGGTGTACGTGGAGAAACGAGTCAGTCTGTAGTAACATAGCTCTAGACTGCAAATACTAGTTTAAATTTAAGGGAAATAATTAACCTACTTTTCGGTGGCAATGAAATGAAGCACTAATGAACATTACTTGCACTAATTGCAAAATTACTTTTTCAGTAGTGAGGTAGCTGCAAGAAAAAGTGCTGACACCAAGAATTGTTTAATATTAATTCAGCAAGGGGTGCAATATTAATGTCCAGTACCCAGAAATCTTTTTGCATGAAAAAAGAATATTGTAGTAAAAAATATATACTTCCTAGCGTATTCGTTACTTCACTCCCGCTCAAACGTTTTCGCCATTTTTGCTCTCACGCTCAAAAATCGGGCATCCAAGGTCTTGGCGATAGCATTATTTTGGCTTGTTGTTGTTGTTAATTTACGTCGCACTAGAGCTGCACAATGGGCTATTGGCGACGGTCTGGGAAACATCCCGGAGGATGATCCGAAGACATGCCATCACAATTTTGATCCTCTGCGGAGGGGATGGCACCCCCTCTTCGGTAGCCCGACGACCTGCGCGCTAAATCGAGCACTTTACGGTAGCACAGTTTAACAAGGACCAATACCGCACACCCTCGGTCCCTACGCAGACTGATCCAAGTGGTCACCCACCTGCATACTGACAGCAGCCAGTGATGCTTGACTTCGATGATCTGCTGGGAACTGTGTCTTAACGTTCAGTTCACTGCGGGACGCATTATTTTGGCAATCATCCATTTCAGCTGATCGTCGAAGTTTAGGGTTATAAAACGACTGGCATTCAAGACAGTGCGTAAATGAGGCTGTATGAAGATAGAGACCCAGACCCGTATTTCCATTTGAACTGGGGGCCTCCCTGGCCGAGCGGTATCGCCGGTCCAAACGCTCTGTTAAGCGTGGAGGTAGCGNGGGGGTGCCATCCCTTCCGCAGAGGATCAAAATTGTGATTGCATGTCTTCGGATCATCCTCCGGGATGTTTCCCAGACCGTCGCCAATAGCCCATTGTGCAGCTCTAGTGCGACGTAAAGTAACAACAACACAAACAATGTAATTTCAATAAATCCATTTGAACTGGTTAGCAACGTTTGCAGAAATGGGCAACCGGATCCTTTACATAATAATGAAATCTGTTCGCAAACAAACAACAAACTGAAACTGATGAAACAACAAACTGATGAAGTGAGAAGAAAATAGTTTGAAATATTCCAGTATGTGTATCAGCATTAGTCAATGTTAATTAAGAATGGTATGAGTTCTTTTTTGTATTTCTCATTGTAATAAGCGCAATAACGTTTTCTTAATTTATCAACATAATCAAGTTTAGAATTATTTATTTTAAAGCTCAGCAATTTTGCATTGTACATTTAAATGCAAATAATATTTTTTGAAGAAATTAATTTTGTGTAACATTTTTTTACATTTTGGCCGTGGAAGTTTATCAAACCTAGTGCCGGTATAAATGCAGTTGCTTTATCTTTATGATTATACAAATTCAATGAGTCTAAGTAGCTGTGATGACCGTTTTTCTATAATCGTTTTAATTCCTTTTTCTCTCCCTTTTTAAAATTGGTTAACCGTAGTTTTTTGCAACCATATTAAATTTTTATTACCTTAATCACTTATTGCAGTAAGTTTATTTTACCTTGCTGTATCAAGTAGCTCGTTATGGGAAGATTTCTGAACTGTGATCTATCTCTAAATAAATGCCAAGCTTTGGCAGATTTCAGGCAGTGGCACTCGAGAGACTAAAAAAAATATCATAAAAGGGGCCTTACTTAAAGGGTATTACTCATAGCCATCCTCAGACAAACTTCTACTTGTTTTATTCTTCTTATATTTTTTTTTTAGTTTACAAATTTAAAATACATTTGCTACCTTGGTGATTATAGTCGGTATGACAGATCACGATACGGAAATATTCCCTTCATTATTACTAGAAAGGAACTTAACTAATAATTGTAAATAAAATTCTCTTCTCTTAGTTAATCTGTGTGAAAATATGACACAATTGTTAAACCTTATGTAAGGGTAAACTAATCAAAGGTAACCAAATTCATACTTTTCTTAGTTGTTATTATGTGTCTGTGAGAATATGTACTAAAGACCTAATAAATATCCGTTTTGAAAAAGATTTTATGAATATGAGTACCTACGCCAAGTTTTGGCACCTTCTTGGCAGTTTTCTGAGAAAAACAAATCTCAGAAAGAAACCAACTAAACAGATATAACATGTAGCCACCCATCAGCCAACTATAGCATTTTTTTTTTCAATTTTTGCAAATTAAGAAACTTTTTGGCGCAGAAACACCATATATTTAAAGCTCCCTAAACTCCTAGTTTAAGTGCTAAAGTAAAAAAGCATCTTAGAAGTGACTATGTAAACTAACATAGGTTTTTGAAAATTAAAGAAATACTCTATTTAACAGTCATAGTTAATTTTGAAAAAAACAACAACACTAATATTATATTTTAATTTCAAGATTAATTCAATTCATTTGTTTAATTTCGTTAGTCTAATGCTAAAATTTTTTGTTTGTAAGCAATAATAATTATCTTTTTTAAGCACAAACTTTTAATTCTCTAACTGTATATAACCTTGTGAAAAATATGGAAGGGACTAAAAAAAATTTTTTTTGCATTAAAAAAATAAAGCAAACAAAACAAAACCTGGTGTTGAGGGGGTCGATTTGCGGACTGTATTTACGAATGATTAAGAACAGACGATAACTATTTAACAATTAATTGCCGAAATGATGAAGACGCCCGACCATGTCGAAACGAAAAACAACAAGAGCTCTTCTTTCCGCCAAATTGAAAGATAAACGAAGCCAAAGCCGAGAGTGTTTTAGTGTTTATACCTAGTGTTTTAGTAGATTCTTCAGTCTCAAAAGAGAATTCTTCGTTAAATTTGCTGTCATTGATCAAGTCCCTGGAATTCGAGTTCCATTTGTGCAAGGTCATGCCACAACTATCAAACATTTGAGTCTTTAACTCTGAAGCCGATTCAAGATCTGTTGATCCAGTAACTACATCGTCCATGTATAAATCAGAAAGAACAACTTCTGAAGCAAGAGGGTAATTCAACTGTTCATCCATTGCTAACTGCTTCAATGTTCTAATGGCCAGAAATGGAGCGTTTTTTGTTCCATACGTAATTGTTTTCATTCTGAATACTGTAGGCACTTCGTCTTCTTGAGTTTTCCACAAAATTCTCAATAAATCTCTTTGAGACGGATCGATTAATATTTGACGAAACATCTTCCTAATATCAGCTGTTAAGGCAATCTTGTGTTTTCGAAATCGAACAATCAAATCAAAAACGTTTTCTCTCACTTCTCCGGTTAGCAATATGTCATTTAAGCTTTGTCCTGTCGATGTAGGCGTAGAGGCATTAAATACGACTCTTAGTTTTGTAGAAGTTTTGTCCGGGCGAAAAATGCCATGATGTGGCATATAATATGATAAAGAAGGTGAAACATCATCTACAACCTTTTCCATATGATTTAAATTTTCGTATTCATTTATGAATTCACAATAAAGTTTCTTCATTTCAGGATTGGTGTTCAATCTTCTCACGGTCTGATTCAAGCNTTGAGAAATAATTTCCCAATCATCTTTCCAACCTAGTAATTTTGCTTTTAGAGCTGCCACGACGACGATTTAATTGTTTTAAGCTCTTTTCATATTGTTTCTCAGTATCAGTAATTTTGCAAATCAAAAATGTATCAAAACGAAATCAAAAACGAAGTTATGACGAAACAAAAACGAAAGTTGATCAAAATTAATATTTACGAATTATATCAGGTTTGAACTCCGGGTAGACAGGAACATGTTGAGGGGGTTGATATGCGGACTGTATTTACGAATGATTAAGAACAAACGATTACTAATTAACAATTTATTAACGAAACGATGAATGACGCCATATGAAGACGTCCGACTATATCAAAACAAAAAACAATAAGAGCTCTTCTTTCCGCCAAATTAAAAGATAAACGAAGCCAAAGCCGAGAGAGGCACCAACACCTGGTCTAAATATCATCTGATATAAGACCAATATATGGTGTACCAACTGTACGATCCCTCTTTGGCGGTTCAAAGATATCAAAGAAGCCATATTCGACTCTGGTTGCTTAGGACCAACTGTACGGTCCCGTGATAGCTCAATAGTTGAAATTGAAGGAACTGTGGACTGTATAATAATTAACAAATATTTATTTAACAAAGGTAATAGATTAGTTCACCCATGAACTTACATTAGAGAGCCACCATACGCTCTTAACAATTCAATCATCAAGAACAAGAGTGAGTAGTTTAAAGGGTTGCATTATGATGAAAGATGGCTGGCGACATACAATCTCATTAAACAGTAATTCAACACCAGACATATGGTAAAATAAAAATGTGCACAACCTGCCCTAAATAAAGAAACCTGCCCAGCACAGCAGCTGATGACATCCTGTCAATCAGAGGAAAAACTTGTCTAATATGGTATGTGATTGCCTCGAACAGCTATACAACTCTTGCATTGGTGTTTCATACATTTTCTCAGAATTCTTATCGATCCGTGTGAAAACTATAGCCATTCTTGCATCAAGGCACCATTCAGTTCATAGATGGTCCTAGGAGCTGATCTTCAAGCTGTAGTGATTGTCCAAAGATGTCCCATATGGGTTTAGGTCAAGGGGCATCTATGCCACTCCAATTGGAGGTATTCTTCACCCAACTGAGCCCTGTGTGGATAGGCATTATTGTTCATAAAGATGAAATTTGGTCCAAATTCTCTGTGGAAAAGTCTCACGTAGGATGTAAGGATCTGGTCCCTGTACCACTTACGCCCGTATTCACCATTAATCCTAATCCTCGGTCAGAGTTCAAAACAGGTTTTGTGCGAACAACTCCTGGTTAGAGTTAAAAATCTCATTCCTCCGTACACGTAACTGCGAGTTAATTTAACGCAGAGTTAAGTAACTTTAACCTGAAGATATTCCTGGTCTGCATAAACGCGCGTGCGCAGTAAACGAGTGTTTGTTTACTTCGTTTTCTTCGCCGGCGCTATTTTTGTCTGTTTTATTTTGTTTTTATACTTAGAGTATTTTTTTTTTATAATGGAGGATTATTCTTTAATTCAAGAATTAGAATTCTTAGAAAAACTTGAGGATCAAAAACAAAGAGATGTTGGAAATATTCGAATTTGCCCATTTGATGAGTTGGACGAGACGAGTTTCAAAAAAAGATTTCACCTGGATAAGGAAAGTGTTTCCTCTTTATTAGCAATTATAGGCAAAGAATTATAACAGTCATCGACCTTAAATAATGCCATATCGCCTCTAGAACAATTACTTATTGCACTCCGGTACTATGCTACCGGAAGTTTTCAGCTTCTTCTCAGAGATTGTTTTCGGGTAAGCCAGTCTACAATATGTCGAGTCATACACAGAGTTAGCAAAGTCCTTGCTTCTCTGTGTAAGGAATTCATTTTCTTCCCAAAGACCAAAGAAGAATGTGCAGAGGTAAGTGAAATTTATTTTTTTAACTTGCTTACACATACAACGCAATTAATATCTATGAAATGCATTTTATAAATTATTTTTTGTTTATCACTTACATTCAAGGTTATACTGTAAGATATTATGATTCACTTGATATTCAATTATGTTAAATATTCCAATATACAGTAATTTTTCTGAGTTAAAGTGATCATTATTTAATTGAAAAACACAACAATGATATTGTAACATCATCAATATATGGACATTATGGGGATATCTTCTTATCATGATCTTTCACACCAACCACAATTGCTAAGGTGCCAATTGGATTTTAAACTTGCTATTTTTTAATAAAAACATGTTGATATTTGCCTGGGGGTGGCTACAATCTATACCTTTTAAGCTGGTCCCTCTCTGTAATTTTTATCAAGGGCCATTGTCTGGAAAACCAAAGACTTGACGATTATTATGCCACAAATGAGGATACAGAAATCTGTCAGATAATATAGTTTGTGCCTCTGGATGCTATTATTTAATGTTTGGTTAACTTTTGTTTATTGGCAATTAAAAATAGCTGCAGGTGGCGTAGTACAGAACTGTCTATCAATAGGAGCGCTTCACATGCACTCACCATTAGCATTTGTCGAGTCATAAGATAAGAGAGTACATTAGTTTCTACCTTAGTTATCAACTGGATTATAAACTTTTAAGTTAGAAAACTTTTTGCGACTGAAAACTACATAGATCTAGAAGAAAACGTTAAAATTCTAAAAAAGTATTTTTACAAGTAAATACGAAAAATATTAGGGTCATTCCATGTCAAATCATACAGGATTTTACAAAAATNCAAGTAAATACGAAAAATATTAAGAAAATATTAAGAAAGAAAAAAATTTCGTAGAACATTGATATGCAACTGAGATGAGGAGGTCAGGGTATACAAAGGGATGTCAAGCCAGTGAAAAAGAATTTAAAGTAATTAATGAAATTAAAAAATTATATTAAATTATTTGTACTCAAAAAGAAAGAAATAATATCTTTATTTTTAAACAATCACACATTTGTTAGAACCTCTCGTATGAAAATATATTTCTTAAAAACACATTTTAAAAAATATCAATGTTTATTAAAACATGAAGTCTTTTTATTTTTCTAACCATTCATAAATTACGAAAAATTAAGTCTTTAAAAACTTAAGGTGAAGGTAAATAATACGTGTTCGTTAATATATATCGTTAATAGATGACATGATCCAAATGTTTAACAAGACATTTATTGATAAATCACAAGATAACGTAAAACAATTGTTGGGAGTCCAGAACGAAAAGGACCGTTAAAGTAGATGTACTACTATCTCCTTCAGAATGTCAGAACAAGAGCTGTTGTGAGTGGAAGTTATAGTTGGGCTTACTTACAAGGTATATGCGCTCGCAGCGCCACCTCATTACCTGTCGAAAATTATTTCGATATGGAGATGGAGTGCGAGTAACACTTCTGGAATGTCTCAGAGACATTTTAGCAACTTCTTCTCTCAAATGTTTTATTTCTTTCAAGAGTTCAGAGTCAGCATGTAAATAATTTTGAGAGGAAACAGCACTTAATTGTGGAGGTGATATATCCAAAACTTTATCGGCAATTTCAGCAGCTTTTAATGGTGAGAGATCTTGTACTGAGGCCAAAATAAATTGTGCGTTAGAGGGTAGTTGTTGAAGAAATAATTCTAGAAGGAGAGTATCAGATACGCTATGGTTTTCAGCTCTTCGCTGCATCACGCGAAGGAATTTAAATTCTTGAAAGGATCAGATATGTCCGGCGAAATTATTATATCCCGAACAATCATGGCAATTTCTGGTGATAAATTAGCAACACAATAATTATACTTGGTTTTGGAATCTGTAATGGCTTTAGGAGTTGCTAGTTGAAACGTAGATTCAACCATAGTGAACCATAAAGCAGGATCTGTGGGAATAAAAATTGGAATTTTTACAGCAGCAGTTTCAGTCATTTTGAACGAAAATAGAATGTCCGGAGCGAAACGAGAAAACGAAAGTACAGAATCACATCAAAACGAAAATAAAATGTCCGGAAGTCACCATTAAAGTGAAGGTAAATAATGCGTGTTCGTTAATATATATCGTTAATAGATGACATGATCCAAACGTTTAACAAGACATTTATTGATAAATCACAACATAACGTGAAACAACAAACGTGAAACAACAAACTCTTAGTTTTAAATTTTGTTCTTTACTCACCATTTATAATTAGAGATAAAAGTTGTTATGAGCATTCTTAGCATCAGCCAAATTCAAAATTTCAGCCACTTCATATATCTGAATAATAAGTACAAAAAAGTTCTCAATAAAAATTGAGAGCAATTGAAAGTACTCAGACTTCACAAAAATATTTAAACTAAAATTATATTCATTTACATTTTTTCCCCATTAGGTGTCTCAAAAGTTTTTCAACATAGCTGTCTTTCCTGGAATGCTAGGAGCAATAGATTGTTCACATATGAGAATTCTCTCTCCTGGTGAAGAAGATGCAGAAAGGTTCCGGTGTCGGAAGGATTTTTTCTTGCTTAAGGTACAGACAGTCTGCGATGCAGACTTGTCGATCAGAAATGTTGTGGCTCGGTGGCCTGGATCTGTGCATGACAGCAAAATTTTCAGTAACAGTGCTGTCTGTCTAGATCTACAGACGAATCTGATCTATAAAAACTATCATCTCTTAGGCGATAATGGTTGTGGCTGCCAGCCTTTTTTAATGACACCTGTGTTGGGACCAAATTCACCTGCACAATTGAGCTACGTAATTGCATTTGTAAATTTTAAAATGATTTTTGTATACTTTAAAACATGGTATTATTGCATTTACAAATAAAATCACTTCATAATTATTGGTTATATGTGTTTTGTAATAGGGCAATTTCTTATTAGCCAGCTATTACCATTTTTTGATAAATATGGTATTAATAATCTGCGGTATTTTTCATTTTAAAAATTAGTTGTTTGTGAAGCCCTTTAGTTTGTTGCATTGCAGTTCATAGCTGCTTGCATGCTATTAAATATTACATTTACTCAAAATCTCCAAATAACCAGCAACAAACAAAAAGCTAAAAAATTTGAGATAGGAATACTCTAAATTTATGCAGCTGTTAAAACATTAATTTTAATACTTTAAACCATGTATAGGATTCTGTTTCCTAATTATCATAAGGTATAGAGAAGTATAAATTTTTACTTTAGAAATCTTCTGCTTATTAAACATTCTTGATTGTAAAAACTTAGTAGATTACAGCAACGAGAATATAAATACCTCTCTGTAACAAATACATTGGGCAGGTTTTGAAATAATTTGATTTTTTACTGATCCTGGTAGGCTAGTGTAGTCAAAAAATGTACTTTTTGCTTGGTATGTCTTTGGAATATTTCTTGCCAGTGTAAACAGCCTTCTAAACAATGTTGCTCTATAAAGAAAGTTGTTATAGTTGGGGGAAGGTAATATTAGTAGAATATTTATTCCGAAGATGATGATTAATATTAGTTGAAGAAGAAGCGGTAGCTCATGGAAAACAGTGCCTGAATAATATGTTGGTACTATTTATTGTAGGAAATTATTATTTTCTATTTGTACAATTATTCAGTTCTGATTATTGAAAAAAAATAATTTAGAATCAAATTTGATAAGAAATAAAAATCTTTTATGACTAAAAATACATAGCTAAAAAATATCATTTTTAATATATTTACTATCTATACAGTACCAGTGTATGATTAATTATTATTCAGTGTCACATCATGCGAGTTTCAAAATATATTTTGAACCACTTTAAATATTACATTTTCAACCGACTTTTTGGCCTTAAGATTTAAATCTTCTGCCAGATTTTTTAAAAATTTTATGTTGATACTGAGGTGTGGGGTTTATTTTTTGTTAAACTGCTAAGTTTTGTATCTCTTTTCATAATTCTAGCATCCATTTGCTAGTATACATTCACTGCCTAGTCTCTGCATATGAGATTTCTAAGAACCTGTTAACATAATCAGGGGTCTATTAAGGTTTTTCTGAGAGTTTTTTGTTTTTTTTTTTGTTTGGTAAAATTTAGACATAATTTGTGAAAATTAAAAATCAACACAAAAATATGAATTTATTGCTTCTTACGGGGTAGAATAAGAAAATTTTAAGAAAAAGTATTTTGTGAAACTACCATTTTTCCTTAAAGTTGAATTTGTGAAGGCCCCGCTACAGGGTATTAAATTCGTCCTGGACAGACATCTGATAGTATAGGCAATGTACCAAATTACACTATATTATTTTATATAAACCCAAACTCAAATTAAAATAATTTCAGTAGAAAAGATATAAAAACTGTAAAGTAATTAGGCTGGTTGGTATTTTTTTCAGATATAACAAGGCACATATATTGACACGAAATACTGTGGAGCGAAGCTATGGCATTTTAAAAAGAAGATTCCCTTGCCTCAGCCTGGGCATGTCATGCCACATTGATAATGTTTCAGCTATAATAGTTGCATGTTGTGTACTTCATAACATTGCTTTAAATTTAGGTGAGTACCTTACTAAACTTCAATCAATTTTTGTGATCAATTTATGTTACCAAAAATTGAGCAACTGTACAAGAAGGGATGAAAAAAAATCATTTGTAGTAATTTTTAAGTAAGTTGCAATGCTATATTAATTTATGATATGATATATCAACAATAATACTTAATATATTAATTTAAATTTGCTGTTAAGTTTAGGTTTATATTTACCTATTAATAATTGATTAAAAATTATAAAGCTTGAAATTACTAAGATTTTCAAAGGGGTAAAAATTATATTCGAGTGCAAGCCAGCATGTCATGCCACAATATATATAATGTCATGCCACAATATATTTAAATATTTTGTAACTTATAATGATAAGTTTAAGCTTGTTATGCTGTGTGCCCTACAAAAAAAAAAAAGATTGCACTTTTTTTTCTACATTTAAAATTAAATATTTAACTTATTGAATAGCTCTATACAAATAGATAAAGTGTTCCTTTTCATATTTGATGTTTTTTCCATTATTATATCCAGGTGTTCCCTTGTCTTATGGACTAGGTTCAAAACTTCAAGGTTGCAGAGTTGAATATTGTAAGCAAAAGAATTAGCTGGCTGTTCAATGACTGTTATAATGTTAAATAAAATGGTCCCTAATTTCTAATTGTAAATTTTTGCCTATAGTTGTCACAATAGAATTACCATGAAAATGTGAATCGAAAAGCCGATGTCGAGATATTAAAGAAAATTTTTAGTTACTTAACCTTTTTAATTTATTTTGCTGTAGGTGATGAAGAGCCACCTATGGACCTAGAGATGGAAAAATTGCTAAAGCAAAGATTCCAGAAAATCAAGAAATTATTACTGGACGTTCTGCTGGATTTGCGAAATGAAATGTTCTTATTTCTAATTATTTTAACTAAAATTTGTCTTTTTTAAACTTGAATATATTAAATTATGTTTTATAGTTTGTCAAATTCTCTTCTTTAAAAATACTGGTTCATATCTACTGTTATTAATAACTAATGCTGAAATTCTAAAAACAAAATTTTGACTTAGGAAAAATTGCATTTTTCTATTTAATGTTTCATTTGCTGTTTAAATTTGTTATTCCAATTCATTAAAATAATATTACAATATCTTTGTATGTGAAAAAAATATTTTCTAAAACTGTAAGAATTCTGTTTCACAATTTTTTTTTCTTTCTGCAATTGTATCAAATATCTTAAGACCAGTAGTCCGATGGCAGAATCAGAACGACACTGTCACAGAAAATTACAGAGTTAATACAGAAGGATTTTTCTTTTGAGAAGTAAAAAAATTTTATTTTCTGTTCAACACTGTTCTTAAATAGCAGAATGTATTTCGAACAATATGGAAAATTTAAATCGTGCATTTAAATATTTACTTTTTAGGGCAGTAACTATATAGAATTTTCAGGAGTTATTGCTATTAATGTCAAAATTGCTATCAAGTTTTGGTTCTCATGATTTCATCTCCATCAACTTTGAGAAATAAGAAATTAGTCTATTAACATTAATTAAGCCTGCCCTCAATAAGACAATGCTCTAATTTAAATGAACTATTAATTCTTATGTTCACACTGACAAAATTATGTGGAAAATTGCATTATTTAACAATTATGAAACATGGGTTGAATAACATTGATACACAACACACTAAAATAGTAATGCAATTATTTATAATTTAAAATGTTTAAGCATTTTGGGTCTTCAGCTATAACACGGTTTAAATGTTCTTGAAATTCTTCTTGCGCAGACAGCAGCCTGATCTTTAGACCATGTTCCTCAATGTCCCGCTCCTCTTTCTTTCTCATTATTTCCATCTCCAGTTTATTCTTTTCCTCAATGAACCAGCAGCTTTTTGGGCGGCAGAGGGGGCAGATTTTTTGGCCTGTTTGTGGAACATTGAGAAGCTCAGTTTGAAGGTGACCTTGGCAGGAGTTTCCTCAGTTCCTGCCACCTGGGAAGGACATGGTGTTGACGTTAACTGTTCTTGATCCTGTAATATTCAAAGTAAATTTGACATAGTGCTACATTACATGAAAATTGAATGCAGCTACAAAGTTTATTTCCTGGTGGTTTGTTAAGATATTTGTGAACACATGGCATCCTTTAGCATGTATAAAAATGCAGAGACTAATAACAGATTTTTAACCCCTTCCCAGATTATCTCGAGTCCTGAGTTAACTCGGGTATGTATATATTGCAAATATTTCACATTATAGGTCTAGCAGAATTCATCAATATGCTTTGTTTTATCACACTTTTATTTATAACAATCTACAGAGAGTGAAAGTTAGCCAATTTTTGGGGTAGATGACTTTTTTTTGTATAATTGTATATACACTGGTTAATGAATTTATATGGAAAAAAACTGGTGTTCAAAAGTGAAAATAATGCAGACAATTTTTCAGATTATGAAGATTTAAACATATACAAAGACTGATATTTAACTTTTTTCATTTGCACGAGATAATTTGAGGTTGCAAACTGATGGTAAATTAAATATAGTTAACACAAAAAAAAATTTCAAGTAGTACAAAAACTGAATAGTTGATGAAATTGTCCTTAGATGCTGAAAACCTTAGCTGCGCCATTAGATTTAAGCAATACATGTGCAGCATAATAATTATGAGGCAAAGTTATTTATTCCATAATTATTTGCTAGCAAAATAAAAATACTTCTTACTTTTGTTTCATCTAAAGCATCACAAGGAAGAATACTTTCAGGTTCATCTAAAAATGAAAAAAACACTAATTAGTAATATTCCAAGAGTTTAACATTTAAAAAATTCATCAAACAAAAAAATCAGAAGAATTCTAGACTAAAAATATTGCTACCTATGATATGTACATATATTGTAGGTTAATTCAAACTTCCTTATTTCATAGGTACACAATACAAAGTGTAATATAAATTACATTCTTTAACCCTTTCGCACCTAACGCGACACATACGTCCCAAGCAAATTTCAAAAAAATCTTTTGGGACAGAGACGCTTCTCTGGCTAATTGGGAGACTTTCCTACCAGTCCCGTCAATATTTTTTAAGGTATTTTCATTCACAGAACATAGATGGCACTGCCATACATAATGCTGCCCTACTCATAGTTTATGCTACCAAAAATGTTCGGTTGTAAAAAAATGTCGCGAAAGGGTTAAAAAAGGATATGTAGAGGAAATGAAAGCAAATTTTGAATGTAATTCCCCACAGATGTTTAGTATTCACTTTTGTTTTCTGACATCCATTAAGCTTAAAATATATTTATCGTACATGTTTTCAGCCTGCCTGATATTGTTAATCAATTATTAACATTATTCAACTAATATAAACATTGTTTAAGTTCTAATGAAAATTTCGATGGTTCTATGCTATATTTTATTCTCAAAGTTCCCAATTATGACATTGTGTGATTTACAATTTATCAACCTGTGCAACTTTTTAGATGTTTCAATAATGTAAAAATAATGTGCCTTGATGCTTGTAGTTGATTTAACACATCACAATGTAGAAATATCTCAACCCTTGTGGGAGAATTTTTCGAGCTTTCTACAATAATTATCTGTAATACTAATACCTTTCTGAGAGATATTTTTAGTAGTAGCAAATATATATATGTTACTTATTTAATGTAACAAAAGTGCTTTTTGTTTACAAAAAGTCTTTAGTGTATGGGACAGAACAGTATATATATTCTTAAGTAATAAATATAATGTTTTTAAAATCTGAAAGATTACATATTCTAATCTAATATTGACGATATTCTCCTCTTCTAAAAATATTTATAAATTTAACCTTTATAAAAATTTTGCTATATGGAAATTACTTTAATCAGGAGCCTTTTTTTCAAACACTGATATGTGAGAAAGGAATTTTTCAAACATGATTCTGCAGAAAGTAAAAAAAGTTTGGTAGAAAAAAATATATGTCGAAAAATTTTTCAGATAAAAAATTTAACTTTTCTTGCTTTCCAAATGAAAAACCTGTCTGCAGGAATTCTGTAACATGTGACAATGTCACCACAATTCTACCATATGGATCTCAACAAAAAAAATCAACATAGCATAGTAGTTCATTGTCATAATAAATTCAAATAATATCTTTTGACAACGAGTGAAATTAGCATAAAACCACTAAATTGAAACACAAAATACTGTCATAGAAACATATAGTCATTACACCTCGATGATTTCTTGAGCATAAAATTCTATTAACACCATACATTTACAGAAAAATATTAAAATTATATATGAAAATATCACTCACATGATTTTATATATATATTTTAATATTAGTACAATAGATAAAACAAACACTATTAAGAATCAGATATATAGAATTAAATGTGCTGATTTGTTTCACGAGGAAATAAATTAAATGGACTGAAACCTTCAATAGCTAAAGTTTTTAAAAATTATAAAATCAAATGGCACTTTTAACTCATTCGATATATTTCAATAAAATAAAAAACCACATTGATATTTTACAATCAGGTAAAAAAAAAAAAAAAAAGACAGAAACATCTACCAGCCATGTTTCATAATCAAAATTTACTGACTTTGCATTTTAATTTATAAGTTAGAGTTACTTCCTTTTTACATTTTAAATTAATAACTAAACTTGCAATTTTTGAAAATTACTTTACAAATCATTCCCAGAGCTTCAGTATGATTTCAGAACATTAATTTTGAACACAAATGTTATAATTCAAAATTATAAAATAATACTTACTTTCTAAATCCATAAAATCACAGTCATATCTTGATTTCAACAGATGGGTTAGTAGTGGCAATGTCAGGTATCTTTCATCCGTTTCCGTTAACTGAGGGCATGAATTTTCCCCACCCCCAGTTAACCTTAAATGCTGCCTATCTTTCACGTTTTTTTTTTTTTTTTTAATGTTTTGATAACATTGCCGCAATTGCAAGGCAGTTCTCGGATTCACTCCAGCAGTTTTATTAAACTGCCCTGCAATCTCCACGAAAGCTTTGGCTTTCTTTGCTGATACGACTTTGTTTCTTTATTTTCAATTATTATGAGCTTAGGCTCCACCAGCTGCATCAGCAATTCCTTTCCTGTCTTTGTGAAATAAAGCTTTTGAGACATTATAATGAAATAAATAACTAGCCGAGAGAAAAACAAAAAGCAGGGGAATCATACATGTGTTTTTTCTTATCCCATAGGAAAATGCCTGTAACTGTCGGTCAAGTAACCAGCAGTTAAGTAACCGACGGTAAGAAAAACTGCGGTAAGACGATAAGAAAAACTGCTGCAACAGAACTGGATGTTCTTGATTCAGAAATTGTCAAACAGAAAAATATGTTGAGAAATATTATGTAACATAGGAGCCCCTGAGTTTCTCCGGAAGCTTACAGTATTACAGAAATAAATTTAAAAAGACTGAAAAAAATAAGATAGTATTTTTGATTTTATTTTTCTCACAAGTTGCATAATTTTTCTATCTGAATTTTTATTTGTATATAATTAACTTTTCTTGACCCCTTTATATTTCAATATTCAACCCCTTTATATTTCAATATTATCTTTTAAAAGAAAAGTCAGTTTGAAGTGAATTAGTGATTTTTAAAAATTAATAACTTAATGTAACAAATGTTCTAGTATGTTTTAAGAGTAAATATTATTTGAGGATACTAATACATATCTCGCTGATTTGATTAACCCTTTATATCCTGATGACACTCACGCATTTGGTTCCACTTAACATTAAATAAAATAATATTTCCATAATCCAACAGATTTTCTTGATCTTTTTATTTAAATCGTTTTCGTACCTAACTACAAAACTGGGAAACGGCGGGTCAGGAATATTATTGTAAAAGGTCAGGAAAAACCTGCAAAAGTCAGGATATTGTTTTCTCAAAATAGTGTAGGAACCCTACATATGTATTAAAATCATTGTGCCTTTAAGCCCAGCGTTCAATTCAATTTTGACTACCAAATTACAGGAACCTTTTAAGCCCCTCCCCATTTTATAGATCAGTGGTTTCCAACTGGCGGCTTGCGAAGCCTTTTTTTGTGACCCGCGAACTAAAATAAATTAGTTGTTGTTTTTTTGCTGACAATTTTCGTAAAAAATCTATACGGGTTTAAAATACTTTTCTCATTAATAAAAACCTAATTTCTTCGTTTTTGTGACATTTATCATACCAACGGTGTAAAAAAACATTTTTCTGAGGTTTTGCATCCAAGAAAATATTTATTAAAATACAAAAATAGTCGTGTATGTTGCTCTTTTTTATTTAATTTTTTTGTATTTTGTGAATATAATTTAGCATGTGTGTATCAGAAATTTTCTGGAAGAAATTCTCCGATTTAACTTTTTGAAACCACTCATTTCGGACGAAAGTATTTACACACATATTTGTAAATTTTAAATTTAAAATGTAAATATCTATTCTCTGGTGGTTGCAGCAGACAAACCTCAATTATGTCATTGAACATTTTGTGTGCTACTATGTAAATTTTAACACCAACCTTTTTAAAGTTTTATATAACAATTAGATATTTGTTGCACATTAACTGTTTAATACATGGGTGCACATTAAAGTTATTGTAGCCCAAATTTTTTTATTATGCAATTAAATATTTTTAAAAATCTATTTCTTATTTTAATTTGTAATTCAATACTTTTGTTTTGTACAACTTGGTAAAAATCTGACAGTAATATTTAATGTTCCTTCAAACATAAGAGTCCTACATAAAATTTTGATAAAGTTGCAGCCTGCTATTTGATTTGTGTTTTTAATTGTAGCCCCCGGCCTCGTGTAAGTTGGAAACTCCTGTTATAGTTATTTAAATTTGCCTCATATTTTTTGGTTTAATTTTGCACTTTTTTACCAATTTTTTTTTCTTTTTCGTTAAATACAATTGGCAGTTTAGTTTCCCATATACTGATGAACTTATTTATTTAGAAATTAACGTTTTAGCACCAATTGTATGAAAATCATTGAATTTAATTTAATGGCAAATAAGAATTTAAATTCTAAGAATTAAGGAGCATTCAAGTGATATGTTTAGCTCAAAAGCTTTTTAAAAACTGTTTAAGCAAGCTGAGACATAAAATTACTATTTATCTTCCCTCCTATATTAGTATTAATAGACTATTAACGATAAACGTGTTATTAGTTTTAATACTCTAATGAAGAAAAAATAAATATTTATTTTGATGCATCACAGTTAGAATTTGAAACTTAAGGACTAGAGGTACACCATTGAAATCAAGTATACTATGTTTATAAAAATATTTTTTTTAAATAACAAATAATAATAAAAGAATTTGAATAGATGTTTAACTAAAAATAATAATATTTTAATGAAATATTTGTGTTATAATTTTGTAATTAATGTAATCTTTTATTTTTTCAGACTACTGTTAGTAATCCACAATATCCTTCATTTTTGGATCATGCTATTAAACTTTTCATCAGAATTTTAGGAGATGGAGAACCACAATTTATTGCAGAAAAAACCACCCATGTATGTATTTTTATGAATATATTTCAAATATATATATATA